GTGTTTGCATCATCCGGATAACTCTAAAATGTTTTCTACACATTTTGGAGTTCAGCGTCGTCTTATGCTTGACAGTTCCAAATCAGTTTCACCAAGAGAAAACGTGATTTGTTCCTTCCGGACTCGGATCCGAGATCTATTAGTATGGCTGTTAGAAGAGTGAGTGACACTTCGGTGGCATCTTCTGTCTTTTGACACATACTTTTGAGTGTAAATTTCTGGGTTTGACATCTGTTTCACCAATTCTGCATCTTGGAAAGCTTCGCCCATTTCGGTATAAACTCTCTACTTCGTCTTTGCACTTTGTTGTAGATCAGATATGAAGCTTTCGCGGTTTTGTTTACAACCACTCAGAGCCTTTTGTTGTACTTCTGCTTGCTTGAAATGGAGCATAATTAAAGTGAAAAGGTATAATACAAGTTTGAGTGAAGTGACCACCGTCCCCAAAATGTGAATGATCAATAAGTCTTAGTTGAAACGAGATAATCTCCGCGCCCATCATCTGAGTAGTGCGCTGGACAACATTGTTTCCCACAATACTGCTTGATAGTTGATAAAAAAAGTCACTTCTGAAGAAAATAGATAACACGAATGGAAAGTATTCTGAGGGGTTTTTCTGAACATTCACCTGTCGCTCAGTGAAAAGCATTCATGTGTTGCAAATGAATACAATCAATATTTATTTCCAGCTTCTGTAAGATGGAGCCCTGACAAAATTCTCAGTTTGTGCGCCATAACATGGATCTCGAGAATCATCGTAAATAAAGCTGCATCCCATCTCGTTTATGCAGCCCTTAAGAGTTTTACCAGGGAGATATGACCCGTTGTCAACCACAAGAAATGCTTTGTGGCTGGAAACGTTCTTCATTGGTTTAATGAATAATTGTACAGTTGAAGGTCTCATGTTGTTCAGAGTAAGAAACAGTTCAAGAAACAGTTCAAGAATAGATTGCTGCAAAGCCTACTTTATTACTGGGCAGAAAATCTAGTTTGACGGTGGTTTCTGTGTTCTTTGTCTATACTGGAAGAACGCTATTGCTTCCCGACGGTTATTATTATCACGGGTGGCCAAAAAGCAAGTAAACCTTGCTATTTGCTTCATTTTTTCACCTCCGGATTATCAGAGTGTATATCTTTTAGCATTGCACAGGTAGGGAAAGCAAACCATAGCCTTCTATCTAAGCTTTTTCGGACACTTCGTCGTGGTGNATAGCCTTCTTCTAAGCTTTTTCGGACACTTCGTCGTGGTGACAAAAGTGCTCTGTTAAGTGTCTTTTAGTGTCCCAAATTCGTTCAGCACAAAACTGAGATGGCAACTGGTATTTCGTGTTAAGTCAGAGCAATCTACAACATAGTTTGGTTCAAAAGACAATCAGTCGTGCATTTTCTGGCTCTTGAACTGAAGAAGACGGCGAGATGAATAGTGAGAACGTTTTGATGTATTTAGCAAACCACTGATGAGTGCTATAGTCACATCCAGCGTTGGATAATGCCTAAAGTGGTTGGAGAGGATTGGCGTGTAACGCCACTCCCTCCCACATGAGCAATTTACATGAATCGATAGAGTTCATTATGTTTACAAACGTTCGGTTGTTCTCAGTAGTTTTATTTGTAAGCGTGTTCTCTAAGAACATGGTGTGAATACAGTTTTCCAGAAGAAGCATAAATCCTGCGACTGATGGCTTCTCAATGGATAACTGTTAGGGTTTGATTCCTCATACCAAGTTGCCGCCGTTGACCAAGCCAGTAAAATCCACAGGTTGGTGGTCACATTTGCATTTAGCAGCCTGCATCGTCACCTGGGGAATGAATCTCGATGTATATTAATTTGAAGCATATATCACCGAATAAAATTTGGCGCTTTGTAATCCCCTGAAAAACTTATGTCTAGCATACTGAACGAAGGCAAATCCAGATTCTGCGTGCTTCACAGCAGTCAAACGCTTAGACTGGGGCCTCAAAGGTTTATGGACATTTTTCTCATATGTCTGAGAATGAGTACAAATTTCTTCTTACCACTAAGCTTTTCCTGCTTTTGTAACATATTTAGGACGGATCAAGGTAATTTTCAGTTCTCCTGTTTCTGGAATCAGTATTTATCGGTTCCACAATTGGAATTGCTGCCAAACTTGCCATGGCCCGATGATAATCTGGGCATTGTGTGAAAACGCAGTTATTTCCGTATCACATCAGAACTCGCAATCCAACAAGGCATACTAATTTTTCCATTGGGTGGTGCAGGCCCAATACATCAAAGGGTATGTAGGTACGTACAGGAAACGATTCTTCAAACTCGGTTACTAACAATCACTGTGACTTACTGAGGTGCAAACACACTAAGAAAACGCCGAAGAATGCATTGCATCGAATTTGAGATCTACCATGATAACATTTACATCTCTAACCGTCATCATTGCTCTTTTTGAATCGTTCTCATGCACCCTTTTCTCTTTCGGACAAAGTGTTTCAGACAATTTACGAATGATCTCTTCACAAAATCTTGCTGAAGTTTAGACGTACCAAAATAACGAGATATTTTTACCGTCTTCGTTTACTCCGGCGGAGTCCAATGCTGCTTGCTTTCATTTGACTTAAAGACAGCTTTTTGGTCTTTGGATTTTCTGCCAGCGTAGCATGTTGTGCAAGAGAAGTCTGTGTCCGGACATTAGGAGATCGCCAGCAATGATTGATACGCTTTCGCGAACAAACTTTATGGAGATAAGCCTCATGCTTGAAGGTTACATAGCTCCCCCAGACTCCTTCACAGCCGGTAAGCTGTTTCTTTTATGTTACATTTTGTGGTTTATATAAGTGATCCAGTGATAGTAAAAGCATAAAAGCATAAATTTATAATCTGACGTGATGTGGTTGCGTTTCCATCCATTAGTTATCACAGATACCTTTCCCAGCGGTACTGTAATACTTCAGTGTGGTAGACCAGTTATATGTGCTCATTGGTGTCTAGATAATACGGGGATGGTTCTTTGCAGGTTATACGGAGCCTTAAGGGGAATTCAGTTTTTGACGGCTCGTAACGAATGCTTGGCTGACACCGACGACACAAACCTGTCTGACAATGATACTTTTAATTTTATGCAAAAGTTGAATATTCATCAAAGAGTATTAGGTCATGTAGCGGCGCTTTACCATATTCCCCAAGCCGTACACCCCAATGCACAACTCATCCGAATTTCGGCAATAAATCCCAACAGTTCATCACTGCATAAAAACGGATAGACTCAGACTCACTCATACTCAGATCCAATACATTTAAATATTTTTCTTCCGCACTTTGTGCTTTGTGTCGAGCGGAGGTCACTGGTAACAAATGCATGTCACACAACATGATTCAGGAAGACCTGTGGTTTGGTCTTCGTGTTGTTATGCCACATAAACTTCTTTGGAAATTCTCACTAACCTGCACACTGGCCTGGCCGGAGCTCATGGAAAAAGTTCCTGAATCTGACAGAGTCCACAACCGTTTTCGCCCTTCTTGGGCTCATCAGGTATGTGCAGTTCCCAAGTTTCTGTCGAACTCATGTTCTGCGTGCACCTGTACTGATTTCGACAAGTGCACTCATTTGCATATCAGTTTGGTTTTCATGAAAAGCTCCACCGAATCTCTCGTTTACGATATGCTTCAAGTGAACATGTTGCACAAAGGCTGCCTTATATTTCAGATGGTACGATGTTTGAGATATTGCAGTGTATTTTATTGAAGGATTCTATCAACAAGGATGATGAGAACGCTTCGACAACCTACAGTTGGTTTCGCTCTTATTGAGGTTCATCATAAACGAGAGATCCAGCTGAGTCTCCCGTGAAAAGCAAACTGATATGCAAATGGGGTTATCTGTGAAAATATATAAAAATTGAGTCCCAGTGGAACATAAAATTGATGAAATCGTGAGGGGACTACGCCTATCTGATGAGCCCCAAGAAGGGCCAACCTATGACGATGAGTTTTCAGCAACCTTGTGAGTAGTTTCATTTGTTGAAAAATTCCCTGACTCATTTATCATGCTGGAGATCAAGAATGATTAAAGTCCTTGCCAGATGCTGACAGTTGCAAACTGAAGTGCAAATTGCAACTTAAATAAAGGACACCACAGAATGTGTGGATTGTCGTACTATGATCATTTGGAGTAAAGGTGAACATTGAATTTCTGTGTGAGTAAACTAACCATTAGGAACGGGCTTTCCATTAGCCGCAACTGAAATGTCAAAACGGGACACATCACGTAATACTTACTCGCATTCGAACAGAAGAGCTAAACTTTGGACTTTACGGAGAAAAAAATAAAGAACACTTTGCAAGAATCCGAACAACGGAACCAACGGGTGAGTTGTCAACTATCTTAATTTAATGAATGCATTGAGGGAGAGTGCATTCCTCAGACAGTAGCATCTATCTGGAAAGCAAAGACATTTCATAATCACCCATTGCCATTCTTGTGCGTATTAGATGTAATTGTGCTGGAACTTTGTGGGCGTTTTCTGCAAAAGAGTTTTCATTCATACGAATAACTACTTTAATGACTTTTACTCGACTGACCGTTAGCCGAATAACGAGCACAAATTTTGGAAGTACAAAGCAGATGTAACTAGCCGGCCAATCACTTTTGTTGTGCTAGTGGTCAAGTTGGTCTCATTGGATTTGACTTCACTCAAAGATTGTGCATTTTAAAGATTTTTGTTATATTACTGGAAAATATACTACCTTTCCTTTGTTTGGGAGGTAGGGATGGTGAGGTGCAAGGTTTAAACATTTAGAGCCAGTTGTACCGAATCTTGAACAGTAAAACTATACTTCTTTAGATGAGGCCTAAAGTCCTTTAGCAGAAAAGTACACAGATGGGTTGCACGTTATGAACATTACCTATGGGTTACTCATAAGCCTCGTGCAAACACGTAAATAGCTCAGTTTTGGTTGCCGCTGCCTCTTTTGACGGACTGTGTGAATCCAACCCATGTTGTCGAAATTTAACGGCCTGCTTGGCGTCATCACTATAGTTTTCCATCACTTTTTGCTCTCCGCATGGGGTAAGCAGGAAATCGGACGTTATTCCTACTGAAGAGAAAAACAGCTGTCACGGAAAATGGGGATTATCATCAAAATTACCAGGAGTGTTATTTTGGTGTGGTACAATGGAAGTAGTCACGCAGAAAGCAATCACACTTTTGTTAAACATGGAAGGGGTGAAGCTGACTTGAACAAATAGGCATAATGATGTACATAATTGATAATATCCGCTTATAGTTGGCGGGACTTTGTAATCGGAATACAGCTAGCAGGGAGCTCAAGCGGACATGAAGGGTGTAAACATGTTTTTCGGGGGAGGGGGAGGGTGATAAGGAAATGATTGGGATAAGCCTGTACTTTCATTGCTGTATTTTCTTCCAGAAGGTCAAGACTGACCATAGGCTTTTTGGATGGTGGGTTCCGTTGCTTGCAGATACGGAGACCGTTCATCTATGCTGCGCTCGAATACAGAGGGTGGGGGAGGACCTGAAATGGACAAGGATATCCAGGATCACCAACCGTTTGTATGAGCAGATACGTGGTGCCTCTAGGATGGAAGTAAAGAAATTTTCAAGAGTTACTGGTCTAATGTGTAAAATTTTCTGAAAGAATAAACTTTGCCCGAGTCACACAGATTTGGAAATGGTTGTGAGCATCGGCCTAAGAGATTTCGTTTTTCCTCTTGGTTTACCATTGAATACGGCCAAGTTCTGATAACCATGGAAGAAATACCACGACAGGGGCATTCGCGATTGTATGTGCGTACAGTTCAATTTTCACGGAAGGTTTTATACACAAACCGTGTCACTGATGTGTCATTGAAACCCTGGTTATTAGCTCTGCAACGTCAGTTATATATATATATATATATATATATATATATATATATATCTTTCAGCTGTAACACCCTTCCGGTGCCCTGCCACCCGGAGGAAGCACGAGGGCTGATATACTGCCAATTTGCCCATGCCTAGACAGGAGAATTCCAACGACGGACCATCCTGCCCGTTATTCGCGCTCTAATCACTTGAACCACCTCGCCCCCTTGCATGATCTACTCGCGAGTGGACATCGTGGGTTTGGTTGCTGATATGCAGGTACGCGCAGTATGCCTATGCAAAGCAGAAATCTACCATCTATTCGTCTGGTCTAGCATATTGCGGTTAGATCAAATGCAGTAAAGCGTTCCGGATATCTGCCGATTCTCTGCAGCTACTCGACGCGCATCTTGAACTACAAATAGATCGCATTTTCAGTGAAGCACATGTGATCCTGAAAGGAGAGACAGTGAATTGTGGTGATATCATTATGCGTAAATTTCCGGACGCTGTTGCAACTTATACGAGCAACAGCTGCTGATCGATAAGGTATCAGCGAAACTAATCTCGCCTGTTCGCCTGTTCAAATGTGACTATTCAGATGCGTCCAGCGTGAGCTGGTGGGGTGGTAGTAAACACGCTCACCCCGTATATCAGTCGAAGGAAGGGGCTGGGATACTGCCAGGTTGCCCAAGCCTAGACATGGAATTCGAGAGGAAGAGGTCGGTTTGCTGAACCTTCAAACACAACAGGGAGTGCTGTGAAACGGCTTGCTGTCCCCAACTCGTTAGAAAGCGCTTCTACTGGGTGTATCTTGCTTATACTTTCTTATTCGTTTCACTTTCGTGTTCAGTAGTGCATAACCGATTGCTGCCTTCATTTTTTATGTAAGATGTCTTAATTTTGACGCCTGAAAACTTGTTGGTGATACATATCGTCAGCTTGTACTTTTGTACACATGTATTAAATCAGTAAGGACGGAAATCCAGCTAAAATAAAAACGTATGATAAAATGAGCAGGGAATTTGTGGCTGTTATTCGATCAAACTCTTCTGAAAATTATGGTGTCTGATGGCTTTATTAGTGATGAATAGTATATATCGCAATGTCTCTTTCTAAACCTGCATGGTGTTGGTTAAGTGAAACTCACAGTCCAGTATGAAGACCTGGTAACCGGTGTTTGAAAGTGAGCCACTTACTGTTGCATTTTAAGCAAATGGATTTAAAATGCATTCAAACCAAACTGTTTTTACTTTATTTTTATGGCAATTAGGACATTTTTGGAGCACATCTGTGAAGTTACTTTGCGAATTCGCTGTGGGTCTAATATAAGTAACACACATTAGGACTGAGTGTCCTGTCACAAGAACATCGATATTCAAACGTCCAATTCCCCACTTAATCAGACAACTATTTACCCAGCTGCCAAACAAACAAACAAGCAAACAAGCAAGCAAGCAAACAAACAAACTAGCTGTCTAGCTAACTAACTAACTATTTAGCTAACTAACCAATTAAATGAGTAGTTAGCCATCCAATCAACTCACTACTCAATGACTAAATAGCCAACTAACCAAATCTGCTTGCTCACTTGATTGCTCAGTTACTTATTCATCTAATTACCTACTTACTCAATATGTTATCCAATGTGTTCCTTACTCTATTACCCAAATCTTTCATTCAATACTTACACCGCTGGACATTAGGATGTGTATCGGTAAGTGACCCTTGTAATGAGGTGACTTAAACCCTAGGTTCACAAGATAAGCATGACATTTAGATCAGGTGGAGTGATTTGCATATGATTTAGTAATTCATGACTATGGAGTCAAGATCCTTCCCAATTTCGAGTATTTCCTGAAAGATGATAACAATACACGCGGAAAATTGTCGTAGCTATTTGCTGGAGGTGCATGTGTAGGCCATCGCATGTGGAGTTTAAATGATACCTGGATGTGTGCTGTGCGCTGAAGGTCCACCGCAAACTTGTGACGCTAGTGGACGTGCTGTTTTAACTGGGAGCATACCACAAAGAACCCAGCTCACACTTCGGCTGCTCGCATCCTCTGCTTTCCCTATCTTGTTGTCTAACCTCAGTGCTTCACATGAGACTTGAAATGCATGAGACTTGAAGCACAATGTAACCCTAGTACCTAGTCTGATTACCAGAGACCTGAGCACGGATATATATAGAAGCCACGGATACACCCAGTTCCGAGGTGCATGAACTGATCTTGAGTGCTTTAGCTAAATATATTCCCTTTGGCACTTTGCTGCACTGAGTCTACATTCGCATGTACATCTGTCGTACATCTGTCGTACATCTACTTGCACTTGTGTAGTTTTATGGGGGCAAAAAGAACTGTTTAAAGGCGCACCACCATGAAAACTAAATTTTTTGGAGCAAACAACCGGAAGTTACCTCCAATTGGGCCAGGATGGTATTTTTTTTAAAAAAAACTGCATTTAGCATCGTCGTGGTGCCTTTTTTGGCCAACTGGTGGAAAAGACAAAAGTGAGATAGAAATATTTCGGGGCGCGTGGCAACTCGATGAAACATTTGGACAGATTTTCTGGACCACATGTAACGGGACTTGAAACCCCCCGTGGTGGCTCGTGGGAATCCACGTAATGTAAGGCTGTAGGACTGCGCATAAACCAGAGCTTCTTGTTAATTCGTTTGTACGTCTTAACAGCGAATCACGTCGTACCGTTTAATAAAAGTTCCGGCTTTTGTAAAATCGAATTGGATGCATTGAGGCTCATTATATAACAAGAAAAGATGCCTATTTACAAAGAATGCAGCAGCCAGCTTACCGCACTAGAGAACCTTTGTAGCTCACAAACAACTCAACCGGGATAGTAAGTGGTTTGAAGACAGGTAAACCGCTTTAACGACCATAGAGTATTGACTATGAGAAATGTTTGCCTTCATGATGAGATTACTGAAAACTTACCTCCTACACTGGACTGTGGCAGCTGCTGCTCCAGTATTTTGTAGGATTTCGGTTGAACATTCTTGAATGTTGGACCACCGTGGCGCCAGAGATGTTCCTCCACAATTTCCACTCGTGGTTCTTGTGATTCTGGTCCTGCCTGACTGGGCTTATTGGCAGCTGCAAATTGCTGCATTGTTATGTTGTACTGAACCACGTTGAAATCGCGCCTACGTATGGAATTACAGCGACAATACGTCTTTAAAACTAGTATCAACGATACAGCAATAACTGTGGAAACAGCCAGGTTTGAAAAAGTTAACATATGAGGTGGATAACCAACCAATGTGAAAAAAGATGAGCAGCACACTGGAGAGCTGAATAATATTCACTTGGGATATAATACGTTTTTCTTATCTGGGTGAAGCAACTTCCCAAAAATTATCAAGTCCAGTGTACAACCCAACCAAAGACCATATAACATTTGCTGCCAACCTTTACTGCCACATTGTCAGACGCTGCGCGTTAGGTATTTGGTGTTCATCGCAAAACAGTGGCGTTAAACTATGCTTGTTATCTGAGGTTGGTGTTCATTTCCCATATTACACATATCCATGTGATAGTCGACCAAAACCACTCATTTATTGAGATTAATTCACGGACACGTGTTGGAAAAAACTTGGTACATGGGTTGGCACATTGTATAGTAAATAAGTTGAAAAAATGGAAACTTGTTTGCGCAATGGACTTAACCATAAGCCGACTCAAGGGGTACAATTTTTTGGACTGTAATTTATGGGTCACGTGACTCCTGCAGCTGATCGCAGTTTGAAGCGTGCCAGTCTTGATCGGTTCACGGTAATTTGATACACGCCTTGGAAGGAGCTTTCGTTATCTGCAGTATGGTACGTTTTGGCCAGGGGTGACGTCATCACCCTTGAGGTTGATTTATCTCATTTAGGAACACAGGGTTGAGTCTCTCTGACCCTTGCTTGGACAGTGTTTATCCTGTTCCAACACGGCTCTTACGGCACGTCAACACCAATGTGAAAAACCACTTAAGGCGCGTTTTGCTGGTAGTCGAGTTCACCAGCGGCACCATGTGTACAAATCCGAACCCCCTATCATACGGGAGTTGGGTGTGTTACCTCTGCCCTATTAGTGTGCGTTGGATGCGGGTGAATTACTGAGTCTAAACGGGTAGCGTTATGGATACCCAAAATTTTTGACAACTGCAATCCATTGACAGTATCGCCACGGTAATACAAACTGTCCACACAGGTTCATCCGAAGTCAGTTTCGAGCTAACAGTGAACCGCTGGCGAAACAGTCAATTGGCAATCATCAGTTCTTACCAATAAGCTTGTGGTTTGTACCTCAAATGCAGTTCATTTAAATTAGTGCACTAGTCTGGTGTAAAACAAACAGCATTTCATGGAGAATGCTTATCCTGTTCTCAACTCGAAATTTACCGACGACCAGAATTTCTGCGTCAAGAAATTTTTTGTGAAATTCGGAAAAATTCTGGCAAACTTTCATTCACTGAAACATTTTAACATATTTTTTGAATTAGTACAACTTGTCCAAATCTTTAGTGTGGTGCTGGTTGACAAATAGGTGATCTATATGCAGTCTGGTGTTACTACTGTTGTTGTTACTGCATGTTACTGCGTGGCACGGAAGCACACAAAAACAACCATTAGAGTAGTATTCACCATTTGTTCGTGCACACTCTTCTCTTACATCCACCAACTCGAACGGGTAAGTTCTTGTGCAATCCCCCAACGGTACCTTCTGTCTCAGAGATGAGCAATCACACACCAGACACGGTATTCCTATTCTTGAGATTTACTGAGTCGCACGAATATGAATATGTAGAACATGAATGTACGGCCACATGACTGCAGTAGGAATTCTCCACAGCTTTCGCATACGAATAGAGACACTGCAGAAGTTTGCGGATAAGTAATTTTCCGAAAAACATTGTGAAGATCAGTGACGCAGAGCTAGAGAGCAAGCTGAAAAGAATTCAGAATATCTGTTCTCCCTTTAGACAACATAATCATGCCTCCGTGGTAAGCTCAGCGATAATTCCTAACTACTTCGTAAACCAGCAAGCACATATTTCATTGATCGCAAGTATGAGCCGCAACTAAGGGATGGAATAAAGTTTGTTGGGTGTTTTTGTAACTTCTTTGCTCCGGTGCCAAATGCTGAGGTTCAACGAGCCGGTTTTTTATGAACTGACCGATGCCTTTACCTGGTTTGCCATTGAATGATCTTTCTGGATCACTAACTTGCTCAACACCTTATCATTGCACACTGGGTTTGTACTATTTACATGAGTTGGAATTTTCGAATTATTTTATTAACGGTGGTTGACTGTTACTTGTGGCTCAGCGACATGCTGTTTAAGCTCGTAAAGCACTTATTTGCCATTCCGCTGCACCGAAGGTTCAACCAAAGATGTGTATATCTTAGCTGGAAGAAACTACAGATTTCTTAGTGACCTTGTCCATAAACCTAAGACCTGTGAACCGAAAGCACGAATTACACCTTGCCATCTTGAGGGACTCTTCTAAAGCGCATACCACCCTTGTTATTTCTCCGTTAATCCAGGACAACGAAGGTGGGAAGTCCTATAGATCAGTGAGTATAAACTGACTGGGTTCACCTGGAATATCTAAATAAGATCCGTCTAATCAGGTAGACAGCTTGTGTTTATACACAAAAAATAAGGAGTGTGGTAAACTGTGATGCACAACCAAATTCACTGCTAAAATCGCTCAGAATAATGACCAAAATTTGAACCCGAAAGCAGTTATAACGACGGCTAAATAACAGGTTCTGAACGCAGGGACACCTACACTCAACACTGGTATGGCCCTCCATTAATCTTCAAAATCAGCAACCACCATTTTAGATTGTGGGAAGGTCTCGCACTTGACAGAAGGGTCCTAAGAATAATTGTCTTTATAGGCGTAAGACGCGACGCACCTCGCTGCTCCATAATAAGCGGGTCAGGAGGAAAAGCCTCTATCCCTCAAGCACAGCCAAGACCACACATCAGTAGGATCGGTCTTGTGGTTAACCAACATACCCATACCGGCCTGTCTGCCAGAGCAAACAATAAGAATGAGTTGATTTTGTTACATTTTCCAAACATCAGTTACTGGACATATTTTCATCCTACGAATGAGAATATCCTGAATCGTACGGTTAATCGAATGAGGTCACTTTGACTATGATCAACTCAGAATGCTCTATAATATTGGAATATTGGCACGGTATTTTATTCTGTTCGCACGGTGACTCACCACAGGTCTCTGGATACCTTATTTTCTTGCCTCGGTTTCAAGATCTTAAACAAGCACATCATTTCGCCAAGCCCAAACCATCATCTAAATACGCCTTGTCGTTTGATGGTTAAAAATGCCAGCTGGCTAATCCGAATCAAATCTCAGTCATTCACTTGTATACAGTGACCTTTATATAAGAGAGGCCAGGTGAGATCACCCTTCCAACCAGAACTACTTCGGTCCGGTCCCCCGAGATTTGGTAATTGACTGTTAAGTTAACAACGGAGACCATTCCGGATATATCAGAGTTGCAGTTTTTACCCTACAAAGAAAAGGACAGAAACTTTCGAAGTTATATAAAATCACGCATTTGGATAACCTTACGATGACTGAAGCTGACTTGGCCTGAGATACGGTTTTAGATAGTATTGTACAAGGCTGTTGCGACAAATGACCTCTGAAGAACACGTAAAACGCTGACAAAGTTGGTTCGCATTAGGTACGTCGTAAGTATTGGCACCTTTTTCATACGAACAACCTAGAAGGATCTCATTTTTTTCGACTGGTTTCCAAGACGAATAATATTTCTATGTTGAAAAAGTTTCATCTTAAACAAAGTGGGCAAAGTACCGAGCCTTATGTAATCAAACGCCTATGGTCCTTCAGTGTGTCGTTAGTTTTGCCCATCTAAATTACTGCTGAAGTAATGAGGGTTTTAAGAGATTTCCTTCGATTATCTTGAGCTGTGCCATATTTGAATGAAGTGGCCGTCCCAGTTCAGAAATATTTTACGTCAAGACGTACTTTTAATCCTCTCTTAAGGCTCTGCAAATACGGCCTCTTTATCCACAGTATGGAGACCAAAGCCCTTCAGAACAGATGGCTTATTGTGTATTCGGTTATCGGGAAAGTGGCAAAGACTTAACAGTGGTATGAGGGTATAGCGCTTGAAGATTGAGTTGGTTTTCAGAAGTAGACGAAAATATCTGCGCCCAACAATGTATGGTGTAGAGTCAATTTCAATAAGTCTAAAAACATTTTCCCTTTCTTAACAGATCATCCATGAGAATTAAAGAGGAACCTCACGTGGGGATGCTTGCTACTGAACCAGTTACTACGCAGCCAACTACAGGTAGGTCTTCGGAGGTCTAAAGTTAGGCGCTTCACAAGGGGATTCATGGAAGAGCAAGCCACTCCGAGTGATGGTTGGCATATTTACAGCTTTATTCTAAGGTGCTGCTCATTGCTATCGTGCGTGTTCAATCAAGTACTGCGAATCAGTTTGGAAGTCAAATCACGCGGCGATTTTTTAAAACTGTTTGTTTGTCCTGCTTTGCACTACCCCTCCCTGTAAGGCATCGCCTTTGTTGTGTAGAGGAACCTTTGGGTAGGTATGACACTTTCTGACTTTAAGCTGCTAAAAGCTTCCATTTCTTCCTCTTATACCTGGACGACTCTAAGACACTAGAATAGGAGGCATCTCTTCGTTGTCGGTAAGGTAGCTTTTGTTTCGTTCATGGACCTTGGCAGATGGCCTGGGAAGATTTCCTCGCTCAAGTCGCGACTGGGGTCTTCAGTTTCAGGTGACTCAGCCCAAAGACGACATCTTTTCAAACACTTTTATATTATACAGAATCGCCATTCCAAACACGGTGGTCCTCCACATATAGAGTTCGCCAAAGGCGGTTTCAAAGTATTGGTCTGCCTAAGGTCCGGTTCTTATGCATAACAGGCAAATGCATTGGTGAAAGGAAGCACGCCATCAATTATCCAAACGATATCCTTCAAAAAATGTTACTGAAACACCCAAAAGTAAACACCGTTTTCTCTCGGCACTGTAGTTTTGTGGCTAGTTGGAAGACAAGTGGACCAAAAATGTCCGAGACCGAATGAACGGCTACCAATCGGTTTATAGGCAGTTCATTCAAACGCAAGAAATCCATGCAAATCGGTATTTTGTGTTCCTTTTCTTGGCCAGGAACACTGAGGAGTTGTATGTACTATCGGCTTTCTAGATTATACCATTTTGTGCACGTAAGCCTGTAGACAGAGTGGAATCTGATAAGCACAGTACGGATTGAAACATTCGAAAGGATGAGAGAGTTCGTTTTCAATCCACTGGCAGAAGCTAAAGGCATCTTCATGCCTACGAACAGTTTGGCGTACTCCTCGAACACAGAGTGCACTACAAAACGGAAGCCTTCAGACAGGTAGCTTGCCCACAGCAGCGTTGGAGAAACATCCAAGTCTGACTAAGCCGTATTTTGTCATCAACTTGCCCCACTTAATGTCTACCATGGATTACGCGGCCTTGAGAAAATGTTTTGTAAGTTATTTGCTTTACCTATGGCCTGCTACACCGACCTGTCGCCTATACGCACATGGTAAAGTCACAACCCGTCGAACACCATCTGCATCCTCCCATTGCTCTCGATGCTAGCGTGAACGGTTTGCATTTATGTTCTTTTTCCATCTATCTCAGGGACGCCCATGCCTCTGCATCGTTTAAGCAGAGCTTCCTCTTCCCGTCCATCTCAATAATGGCCTGTAAAAACTACCTCTTCTAACCTAGCTTTAAAATGGTCTTTTAACTGTTACGGTTTTTCTCTGTTGACCATGGTCCACAGATGTTTGACCTATTCTCTGGAAACTCGGTCACTGAGAATTCTGTCCCCAGTTTGGACGCACTCGGCGGACGTGGAAGGAATGGTCGGTTTCTGGTGCTTGTGCCCAAAGGTCGATTTGTACAGCCGATAAAGTCAGTTGTGTGACTCATGGCAAGTTTATTCAGGTTACTTGAGAACTGATTAGCCCTAGAATTAGATCTTCTAGATCTCATGTTTTGCTGGTGAGTGTATGATTAACGTAGTTCCAACACTCAGGATTTTAATGCGCCTCCATTGATAAATAACACATTAATCTGTGTCTTTCCCTCAGATAGGCACATTAAGAACAAGGTCAGCCAGGTGAGATTCATTGCTACTAATCTCAAACAACAAAACACAGTCATACAATCAGTTTGAAGGTAGGTTTTTACGGAATGTTGCAAGCCTGGTGTGTACAATACTAACGTCTAAAAATTGTCTCAGTGTCGTCACGAAAAACTGGGTTGCAATTATTGATATTTTTAAAGTTTCATCATAAAAGCAAAACAAGACCACAGTTTTCATAAAAGAAACTACTCACAAGGTTGCTGAAAACTCTTTGACAGCCCAGACCGGTTTCGCCCTTCTTGGGGCTTATCAGGTAGGCGCAGTCCCCGAGTTTCCGTCAACCTTATGATCTACAGACCACAGTTTCCGTAAAGGAAGCCTAACAATGTTACTAAAAACTGCGACGGGTCACGACCAGCATCGCCTTTATTAAGGTGCATTAGGTGAGCGCAGTCCCCGAGATTCCGTCTACCATATGTTCTGCCTGAACCCAAATTGGACAGATTTCGACAAACACACTCGTTTGCATATCAATGTGGTTTTCACAGGACACAGGAAGCTAAAAGCTCATTTTTGCCAACACTAACATCTAAGTGTCGTTTCGGTCAACAATGTCGCATTTATTGATCAGTATTTTGTTGAAAGTTCATGGTAAAGGCAAAACAAGACTAAAGCTTACTTTTTTACCGTAAAATCCAGGTCATTTCCCGCCCTGAGAATTTCCGCCTTCACCTGCGCATGTGTCATACCCGTGACTGGCGTAGCACATATTCTTATGATAACATCTCCTGGCTCCAGTCCAGACTTGTGAGCGATTCCATTTCGCGTGACCTGAACGAGACGGAAATCAACATATGGGAGATGTAAACTCGGAGAATCGTTAAATATATTTTCGAATTGTTTTCGGGTTTTTTAAAAAGGAAACAAAACTTTACTTGTCCAAAATCTGAGTTATCCGAATTTAATCGATTTTGAGAGAAAGTCACCGTGGTCGGTAACCTCGATATCACCAAACTAACCTACTTGGTTTCTGTACACAATTCTACCCGTAGAGAACTTGTGTTTGATCGGCAAACGCACTTGGAGTACGTTACGTCCGTACACATATATTAAAGCTCTGCAGCCATTCGTAGAATATGGTGAGTCATCGTTGGCCTGCCTGAACCCATAACGCTATACTGTTACAAATGTTTTCGGTAACAAGAGGAAATTAATCAGGTTACGACCAACGGTACGTAACAGGACGGTTAGTGAATGAAAAGCCAGAGGAGCATACAATGGGACCAGAATCAATCAACCCACGGCAAGCTTCTCACATGAGTATTCTTTATTTCGGAGCATAATTGGGAATCTGGCTTGCGTAACCAAATTTTAAGGAGTAAAAGTAATGGAATTTGTGCGTCCTAAATGCAGTTTTTGTCTGTGTTGTATATAAGAGGGCAATACATTACTGGTCTGAATCATCCAATACAAGCGAAATTTATCCAGCAGACAGTGAAACTCCAGAAGTAAGAAAATAGTGAGATTAAAAAGCAAACTCTGGCGAAGAGCTGGAAACCTTTCACGCGCAGCCATTCTTCACTCGTCAGAAGGAACAAAATGATGACCTGTCAACACTTCCGTTGAATATCTTGAAAAAAGACGGTTGCACCATTATTTGTAATATGTATGTCCGTATTCTAAGTAACAGAGATATCTAAGACAAAATGCCGTCTGACGGTTATTGTGGGCACACTCCGCTCGACGGGACTTCATGCGTTCAAGAAAAATGCTTTAGCTCCTATCCGTTTTCGTTTCGAGCACAAATGAAGACTTCAAGTCTGGAAACAGATAGCTTCATAATTCGACCTTCTGATCATATTAGATGGCCTTCGTCATAAGAAAAATAGGTGGAATTCCAAGAGACAAAACAAACAGGTTGACCGGCATCTACCTTTGCAATGTCGAGTGGCTGGCAAATTTGAATATTGGTAACTAGTGTGGAGTAAATCCTTGCCGGCTCATTTGTCGAAATTGACGGTTGACTGGAAAATGCTTCGACACCATTTAGGGAGGTATCTTAAGCGCCTTGATCATATTTTCTTTATTTGATTGGCCGGAATATGAAGGTCACATGTGCTCTAAAATTGGAGGCGAGATGATCAAACTATTGGTTGACGTACATAAGCCTTGATCACGCAGTGGATGTGAATTGGCCGTCATAGTGCTAACTTTTGTGAACGATAAAGAGGGTTCTTATAAGCAGATCTTGAGGAAAAAATGTTCTTCGAATAGGGCTACTCTCCCAATCGGTTTTCACCCTGGAGAACTTCCCTTCTTTCTCTCATAAAATCATTTGTTTTCGTAGCGGACCTAATCAAAATCACGGGCCTTCAGTGCGTTTTTAAGTCCTTTTAAGCGATCAGTTATGGTTCACTGGAATTTGCTTCGTAGCTATTAGGCATAAAATGTGTATTGTGCTCGGAAATCTCAACCTTGTTTGTTGAACGCAAAGTTAGTTTGATATGCCGTTCACATTAGAACGGAAACGAAAATTGCATTTTCCTTGACCTATTTTACTTGGAAAATTGGAATTTTTGTTTATTTAATGGTAAACGTGAAGCGATGAAACTCCAGACTTCACACAAGAACAAATTTATCCTCAGCATTTAAAAATTATTCTGGGGGAACCTCATGTGAATTTAATTTCATTCACGATTTCTATACGATCGTCATTAAGATGGAAGAAAGTGGAAACCCTTCCTTAAAAAAGACAACCAGTGACCTGTTGCAACAACATCATGAGCTCATTTTATAACTTTGCTGAAAAGAAAAGGTATGTTTGGTTGTTTTGAAACTTTATTAGACGTTTCCGGATTAAGCTGTAGCTTACGTCCATTTGTTTGATGTTTACATGCAGATTTTTCCAAGCGACACCAAAGTTCACTCAAAGAACTCTTCGTAAGACTGCGTAGCAGTGAAACACCATTATTCATCTCTAGTGTCAACACCTTTGATGATAAAGTTGTTGTCGATGATGATGCTGGTGATGATGATGATGACGATGATGATGATGATGATAATGATAATGATGATGATGATGATGATGATGATGATGATGATGATGATGATGATGATGAGGTTGGACGGTCGGACATACATACATAAGGAATGACGGCTACGATATATATATATATATATATACTTATGAGCATTATCAAAAATAATGGAAATCTCTGTTTTACCACGAATCTATGGTAGACGGTCAGTCAAAGAATGTCTTGTGAGTGCGCACAACCTGGATAATCTGACTTCTCACACTTTAAGATAGCATATGGTGCGCAAGCTGCCGCAATCTTTGCTTTAATAGTTCTCCGTTTGGTTGGACCTTCCTGAATAGGTCAGCTTAGTCTTAGCAAAGTAATTTCCTCAAAAACACAACTGTTATTCCTTTTAAATATGCACCTGGATTGTAAGCCTGGTGAAATCCTCTGATGTATTTGCCTGTTTTGGTGGTTAGGGCTCCTCAAAACATTTGATGAACAAACTAAACACTCATAAATCAGTGATTGGCAGTGGTATTTGCATATTCAGTGAGTTTAGTCTAGCCATGGGAAAGGAGGATGTTTAGACGTCAATTTCGCTTTATTGAGTTCTCCTGGGTCATAGACCTTGCTATGACGAATTCGCATAGAAAACTTAATGTAAGGGAAGTGGTATTTCGGATTAAATATATCGCAGCTGAGCATGTGTCTATCTTAGTTTTCCGGATGGATGGTGATTGATCTAGTTGTCTTGATGAGAGCGGGGAATAGTTTAAACTACTGGTAGATTTAACAAAAAAGTCCACGATAGCTTCGAAAACCAATCCCACTCCGCCACTTTTGCAGAGTGTTATCCGCTAATTGTAGTTTGCCATAGCTAACCACCCTCGAGTTTTGTTAGACAGCTTTGATGCCACTAGATGTTGACCAGTCAACTCTTAGGACGTTATTTAAGCTCATGATCATACTGATTAGTAGGCAGAAAAGGCATGCGGTTTCTTCATAAAACTTTTCAGTGGGCAACATATTCTAAGTTTAACTTCTAGAATATGACGTAAAAGCGTCATGGGTAATCAAACTAGATTCACGTCCTATTCATCAGTGTGACGGGAGGCTGTGTATTCCACTCATTTTGAAGGACGTGGATGTTCCTTGGGAAACTGTCCCAGTGCATGACGGATGGTGTTATATTAAAACTATGCTTGTGGAAATACCAGAACTTCCCACTGTCCAGCACTGAGTTGGTGGGTCTGAATAGCCTTGAGTAATTCGGAACTCCTATTTGGATTACACTGACTGCGCTAACAAATATAGTGTTTCTTTGTTTGCCAAATATTCTCATTTTATGTGAATTTGCTTTTGTCAGGGAACTCAGCTGGGTCCATCTAAATCTCTCGTTAATAAAGAACTACTTTAGCCGAATGTTCTGCACCATACTGCCTCATACTTCAGTTAACAAGATGTTTGAGATAGCGCAATACACAGTCTAGATGTTACACAATAATCATATGGGTGCTGAAAACTGCGACCGTCACCGATCTGTTTCACTCTTCCTGGGGCTCATCAGCTGGAAGCGGTCCCATAGTTGTATTCATTTAAAACACAAGGTTCACGGGAACTTGTGGATGAAGCGCACCAGGTGAACCTCTGAAATGGCGCAATAAGTAGTGGACTGTCGATTTCAACAACAAGGTGAGTCATGTGTTAGTTCAAGTCAGTGTTTCTTTGTCTCCAAATATGGTGCTCATTCGCATACTCATTTTGCAGGCAAGTCCAGTTATTTCTACAAAATTTGGTGTCAAGTATATTCAAAAATTTACATTTTAAGCCCAATGATCAAGCCGGATTAAACTTTTTAATGAATCCAATTCGATGATAGTCCAAACCTTTGGAAATAGCAAGGTGCCGCTAATATTGGCTACGTTTACCCAGTTTAGAAACATAAATGTGCGTCCAGGTGTCTGACGCAAATGAGGTGAAAAAGCCACCTCTAAGCCTGCTGGATTACTTTCAAATGCGACAGGGGAAAGCGCAACGATTGATCGACACACTGACTCTGATAGATCAACAACTTATTTCACCAGATTCAGTGATGACGATAATATCCTCTAACCGGCGAGCGCATATGAGTTAAATAAAGAGAGCTCAGAGGAGGATAATACAACAAACGTAAAATATTAGCAAGCAACCCAGAAGCGCAACAGGGAACAACATCTCTACTGGTTTCATGAGACAGTCAGTGGTCACAAGGTGGGCATTAAGGCACCCAAGTGAACATTTTTCCATAAAAAAGGCTTCTTTTAAAAGGTTGCGAGAATTATCTTTACAAAGGGGACACTAAATGTTGTGACCTTATCCTATATGGATACGCTAGCCTAGGAAGAGGATTAAAAAAGAGGCAGGTTATAAAATCTTTAAGGCCGATGAGTTGTCAACATTTTACGCTGCACTGTAATACTTCCCACGATGCCGGTATTTCAACTGCTTGATGATAAACAATGTATGTCAAAATTTCGGTTGAAAAAAAAGGGAGTACTAACTAGTCTTATTTGGGAATACTGGTCGGTTTTCGAGGTAAATTAACTTCGCTAAAGTATTTCCCAAGTCTAAAGTGTTTTATTGAACGGTATTTTTAGACTAAATCGGAAAAACCCCAAAATTATTGCTAAATTTTTCAGTTGCTCCAGTTGATAATTTATTCACTACACTGCACTGCCAAAATACAGTAGCGAACCATGGTGAAATTTTGCACATGTGTTGCAAGCAATTTAGAAAACATGGATTTAATATAAGTATATCCAACCCCGGATATGTGATTCTGAGGATATTATTGCCGGTTAAAAATAGTGATGTAGTCATCCTGTCGTTTTCCTTGCCGTGCGATGTAAACGTGTCATTCGCACGTGTCCTCGAATCACGGATGCTCTTAACGGTGCAACGGTGATATCGCCGCGGTTGATGACGAAATGTCTGCAGACTGCTTGCCAAAGTTGACGAAAGGACCAACAACTACCTGACAGAAAACTAATAACTGCAACTGCTCATAAGGGGTTAGTCTTTCAGCCAAACGATCCTCCGTATTGTGTTCACCACTTCAACAAAACTGTCCGGCCACGCACATCTTTCGCAGGAGATAAGTAATTCAATCGCATGTTTTGCGTTGCTAAATTTACTTTGCTGTTAAAATGTCACAACAGAACATGTAGTGGCTTGTGCATAGTAGCATGAAGCTGTCGAAGACTTTGACACTTTGTACAGCTTCTGAGTGTGCATTTGGAAAAATCTGAATTTGAAAGTTTTCTCTTCACACTGTCAAAGCTAGCATAGCTAGGCGGCGAAGTGATAACATTGACTGCAGACTGCACTCTAATTTTGGCTGAAATGAGGTGTGATTCATTTTTGACCATTTAGAAGTTTACACAAAATCTACCCTTCACCTGTTGCACCATGACGTGTCAGAAAGAAGCGACAACGAATTTAGTAAGCTGTGGTCTCTCTGACCGCGACTTTTTAGTGCCGATTGGATGTTTTCATGGTTCACATATTTTGGTGAAAATATGAGTTATCTAATACATTTATTCGGTGATGCTTCGCTGCATTTTTTCCAGTGTGAGGGACGGACACGTTTGTGAAGCCAATGCGCTTGTGTTTGTTTGATTTAAACTGGATTGGACAACAGGGACAATTTTTTCAAACTAGCGATGGCACAAGACGTGCACAGGTACAAATTTTTTTATCAGCGGATACGGCATCTTCTCCAACTCTTCTAGTGGAGGGCTGGATGCCAATAAGACAACAGCTGAGCTCAGATCGGGAAAGAATTCAAGCTCAAGTTCTGAGCAGCCCACTAAATATAAGCAAAAACTTATTCGACGAGCAACCGGCCGCTCATGTATTCCGAAGGCTAGTTTATTGAAAATTTGATGCATAGTTTTCAATTGCACCAACTCCTCACTCCGTGTGCTCGTACGAGCCAACTTTACCGTTTAACATACATGTTTCTCACAGTTGTACGATATTGATTGGTGAAGCTTACCTTGCACCCGTATCGCAGATCCAAGCTAGGATTTCTTTGTCATTCCGTTCCTTTGGGCTGGGTCATGGATGATGGAAATCGTTAATATCGTGAACGCGATGAGCTCCGCTGTTCATGTCATGTGAGTGAGTAGCTTGCTGGCATGCCACATTTGCTGTGGTCGGTCTCTATAGCCTAATCCGCAACGCTTTTCTCCGCCGTATTTTTCCCATCAGGTCTACATCCATTTTGTGCTAATACCTTTCAGGATTTCTTGAAAATGAATCCATGACAGAGGAGGTCAACTATCGTGATGAATAAAAGCGGCTCTGCTTCAGATATGACTGACCTGAGAGACACGCAACTGTTTGGGTTTCATGTCAGAGGTAGAAAATTCCTTGAGCTGCCCTACCTTGACGTTAACTCATCTCTACCCTCCTATAAAAAGTGGACACTCTTATTTAATTCCCCGAAGAAATTGGTCATCGGAAATGTTAAACATATCAGAGCAACCTAGCATTAACGAGTTGTAGTTGTAGTCAAGTCTCCAAATAAGGCTTTCCTCAGTTTAGTTTCGTGTACTCAAAATTAGCCGCATGCGGAGTGAAACAATGGTAGTAGCAGAAAATGAACAAACAAGTTTCTCTAGAAATACACTTATTTGCAAATCAAATTTGTTTTCACGAAGGAGTCAACTGAGTTTCTTGTTTATGATATTCTGCAACTGAATGTGCTTTACACAGGCTGCCTCATGTTTCAGCTGGCAGGATATTCGAGATATTGCAGTATATTCTCATAAAGAAAACTACTCACAAGGTTGCTGAAAACCTTGTGAGTAGTTTCCTTTGTGAGAACAAGTTTCTCTACTAGAAGTTCAACTGGAACGACGATTTCAGCGCTTCACAAACGTTTATTTTAACCTGGGGCACCCAAACACAGTTTGTTCGTAGCAAACGAAAGTTATACCCAGTGGGTTGGGAAAAACCAAGGCGTGGAGCCAATCAGAGCAAAGCACGACGGAGTGAAACAACACACGTATGTTGTTACTACAAATTGCTTTTTGTAGTTTCTCGGAGGTAAGTGATATGCAGAATTAAATACATGTCGTTTGGATGGAATGGCACGCCTAAGTTGTCTATCCATTTGTCACAGTTCATATCCCTTACACCCAAGTGGACACATAGCTAACTTTGTTTTGTCTAGAACAGCTGTTGTTCACGGTTTAGCTTTACGAAAAACATCTGGATGATTGCGCAGTCATGGTGATGCTTTCGCTGCATCTGTACTTATTCTCAAGTTTAAACGATAGACAAAACAACGCCATTCCTATGTATATTTGTAGCCGAAACTGTCACGTACGCGTGGCCAAACAGCTCGGATAAATAAAATGTGGCGAACTAAATAAAATTGCTGGGGAGTTGTTATGCGAGTTTGATAGCAAAATAATATAGAAATGTAAGTTTCGAAAGCTGTTACAGATGTAAACGGAGTTTTTACGTATTAGTTTAAAAATTGCAGAAAAAATTGCCTGAATCGATTCTCGCCGGTCCTGAGACGGTAAGTCTATAGATGGTGCAGCAGCAAAGTGGTCTGTCATTAACTGGATTTTGACGCAATTAGGTTGCATGTCAGATAAAGAACTTGAGCCACACCTTAGGTAAAGAGCTAATTTGGTGGACAGCTTTAGATAGTGAAGTATATTGAACTTCACGCCGTCGAAATTGCAGAGTGATTGACAGTACTCAGTAGTGTGTCATGAACAACTGAGATCTAAGTGCCTTTTGGGAGGAAATTTTATTGATCGGCAAAATGGAATATCGTTTATAGCAAAACGTTATTCAACTGACCACAAATGAAATGCTACTCGTAACCGGAGTTTACCTGACGCGCAGCCGAAGCATACACAAGATGTTCAGAGCACATGCATAAAGACTGAAAAAGGCTTAATCGTGAGTAGGCCCCCTCACTTCAGTCGTTTTATTGTGCTAATTAGCCCAAAGGAAGGATGATTGGTGTCTTAAACCGGGAGATAATCTATAACCAATTGCAAACAAAAAGGCGCTGATGTTCGTTCGTTTGATTTTGATTACAGGAATGTCCTCGTTACATTATTTTAGCATGCCGTATATTTTCTGCTTAACAAATTGCCTTCAACCTAACCCAGAATTCTGGCCCAATAAACGAAATAAAACTAGTCCGGTACAGGGAGAAACACCCACTCCATTATCTTGTAGAAGATAGCCTGCGATATCATTTATTTTATCAGAGACAATTTTTGTGCCTAAAACCGTATTTTATACGAAAGGTACTTGATATTTCTCCCCGGCCAGAGTAGAAAGGAACTAAATTAGTTTGAGCTACGCATTGGATTCGTTTGAAATCTGGGCATTACGAAAAGTTCGGTTAACCATTCCTACATTTCTATAATCTTAAGTGTCTGTTCGATAATGATAGCGATAGAATAAAACTGCCGTTTCTTACCATTTGCTTTGTCTTGCCTAGGATGAGTCGTGCGAAATTTGCAGAGCCATTCGCTTGAATCAATCGTGCACATGGTATGACTGAACTATACGGCTTTTGTTAGTCGGAATAGGAATCCGATTACTCAAACAGAAGCCGCTACGGGTACGCGAGCCATTTGGGTTGTCTTCAGGAGTAACGCACATCCAGCAAGCCAATTTTCGGAAGTTTGTGCAACATCTATGGAAGGTTGCAGCGGTGTGTTTCACGGCCTCTGTCCTCTATTGGATTCCAATACAATTAAAACATACTCTGTAATGCATTTTCCAAGCTCATTCGGCATCATCTCTAGGCGAACCTCTAGTGTTATTGGACGAGATAACTAGCGTTATTTAATCTTGCTTGTTGCTTTTCATTTGTTTCGTTTCATTCGTCGTCCACTTCCTTTTGATAGCAAAATGTCCTCGTGCAAGTTTGTGAGGGAAACTCGTAACCGAATTGATTTTCATGCTTTACCTTTCGTCCCAAGTCAAGAAACTCTGAAGGAAATATTTTTCACGCACTATGCAGCGGGTGCGGTAACTTGGGTTGACCTTGGCCATTCCATATCACCAGAGAAGTGTATCCAAAATTTAGCTTAAGCAAAAGTATCCTTGCTTAAATTTATCCTATCTTCTAGGCAGATTCGAGACAGTATTCGGTGAGGTCGTTTGTGATGTATGAATATTCTACTATGATAAAGGCCTGTGTGAGGAGACCAAAGAGGCGCCATTAAGAAAAATGATACCTTTGAAACCTGAGAGTAAATTCAGAAAATGCCAACGAGTAGCTGCATAGTTATGGCTTTGACTTCAAGGCCGAAGTTTCAAATAGCTTGCAAGTCACTAGAACATTGGCTTGTTTCGCGTAAATCAGGTTGCTGGTAACTGCTACGTGGCACTTGAGACCTATAGACTTTGATACATCTAAGGATGGTTCGCACTTAAGGGGGGAAGCAGTCAAATGACTTGTATGGGAATTAATTTGTTGGAGTTCTGAAGTATGGAAGTAACCTCTATGTAGTTGTGAAGTCCTATGGAAGTCTGTTACTTTGGTCGCTCCCAAAATGTATCCTCACTCCTGAAGAGAGGAAACAGTTCACTCTCACCTTTCTGGCAGTGCCTATCTGTTGGCGATTGGGAAAGCTTATAAAATGAATCCAATATCGACTGATTGGCTAATGCTGGCAAAGAGGATGTACTCATATTTTGCAGTGCAATTAAGTGTGCAGAGACTCGGGACGGTGTTCGGATGTGCGATCATGGATAATGAGGGAATGACGAGAGACCAATGGCTGCCTTGAGTAAACCTGTAGATACCAGTGTGGGTACTGCGGGAGTGTACATATCATTATAATCATATAAATCCTGAATTTTCGTTCACAAGTGAGTGCACGTGTATGTTAGCTAGACACGTCATGTCACATTTAGGAGTGGAAAGTTCGGTGCATAACACAAAACGATCGATCTCTTAGCCTCAGCTGATGAGATATAATGAGGACCGATCGGATTTAGTCAATTTTTACTATTTTACTTTATTTTTTCAATTTATTTAGTCCTTTTTCTCATACAATATGGCATCAGACGGTAACAAGCATAGGTCATGGCGCATATAGTTATCCGTTATCCTATGTCCAGTTATCATCCAGCCTTCGAATGTCACTTGTCCGCAAGATTTTCAAAAGTAAACAGCAACAAAAGGTATCCAGGTGCTTCAATTTTCAGGATTTAACATAACCAAAACTGAGTATACTAAATGCATTACACAACCCGACGAAAATCAAATGCACGAATGTGAGGAAACTTATACCGAGATGACTCACGTCATTCTGCTCACAATATGACTTACCTTGTGGACAAAAACTGGAAGACCTTGATCCGCACCACCTTCTAGTGCAAATCCCCAAGACTTGTCAGAAGTTGGACGTCGTAAGCTCAAAACCACGGGCTCGACGGCCATCCTTTTTTTGAAATGAAATCCGTGAATAAAGTAGAGGCTTTACTTTAACCGTTAACTCACTCCACAAACCACGTTAATTAGGTCTGGCACGACGAAGCAACACAGGAGTTTGCACAACGCAGTTGGTCGAACGAATCTATTCCAGCATTAGCCTAGCGCACACATCGGCTTGGCCAATCACGAAAATTTTGAAAGAAAGCCTCGAGTGCCAAACTGTGCATTCGTTTGCTGTGGGTGCCAGATGGGTGGCGAGTGGGCGGTAAAATGTGGGAAGGTGTTCAGGCTTAACCAGTCATGTCTGATGGAGAGCAGCTGCATCTTTCCCATTCAAGGAACGAAAATCGACTGCGCATACGACGTTTCGATGCACATACGACAAAGTGGGGATAGATGCGGCCGCAGCTGGCTACAAGCGTAAGCATACGCACGGCAGTTGTCTGCTTTCGGTAGGCGGAAATGTACCTCCCTTGGCAGCACGTGATTTGAAACGGCTATCGATTTATTTTGCACTTGCTGTAGTCCAGCCGATGAAGTTGTAAAATCTGCCACAGCCGGTCTCTTATGTGTTTCCAGAGTGACAGGATGAAGATTTCACTGAAATGAAATTCTGACGACTGGTCAGTGGAAAGCCTAACTCTATGTTAGTATATTGTCCCACGAGTGGTCTAACTAACACGGCTGTATTCATCAGAATGTATTTCAAAATACCCCTTATGGTGAACATTAGGTTTAGTTGCCCGAACGTCCTCTCGTTCTATATCAGGGAAGAAGAAAGTTTGGTGATGGATGAAAACTGAAGGCCAGTGTCTTAACCCATCAACTATGGGCTGAACACGGTTTCGGTTAGTAGTGCTCGTTGTGAGTGACTGCTGGGAGATGACAATACTTACCGATAAAAGTAGTGAGTTGGAAGTTTTACTGTTGATTTATTGTAATCCAGTGACGCTTCTACAGCAGTGGTTCTTGAAAGACATCTTCCACCTCATTGTTTTTGCAGAATCCAGAAGCCTTCTCATTCGCGGAACAGTATGACGAAATATTCGGCAAATCTCGTCCGACGAATCAACAACCAATTTACGGTACTCACCTGGTTTATCCACGTTTTCCAATTTTCCCAAAAGTATCATTACCTTCAGAGTACCGCCGGTGCACACCTTTAACGAACAACATGCTTTATTCGTTCGCATGGGGTCTCGCTAAAAATTGCGTCAATCGTTGACTAAATGGTCTGTTTATTGACAATCATTTGACGTTCTGTTGTGATACGCAGTCCTGCACGCTGGGTTGGAAGACGATTTGCACTTTTCGGTTCAAAATGAACACACTACTCAGGGGAACCAGAATACATATTCCTTATTTGGTCTCCTTGCCATGAATAATGAAACTCTTGTCACCGGAACACCCAGTGGTTATTTCATTGTCTATCGTTTGAGTATGCTTGAAATCGGTTATCTAACATGATGTAATACAGTGCTAGTAGAATGGGTTCTGGTGTTTGCAAAAACGCCAGGTAATGACAACGTTTTGGCAAGGTTAACCTATCTTGGTCTATCTCATATACCTCTACGTCGTTCTCAAATTTCAGGAGTTACATCAGAACTAAATCACCTACTGCACTGGTACATGCGGTTTGTAGATTTTTAGTCCACTTCATTTAAGGTGAAAAGACTACTTCAGTTAGACAGTCCACTGCTCAACCGATGTCCCTGGTAGTCACTTGGTCAGCTCTACCTTATCCTAAATGTTTAAGTCCGGTTTTTTTAAGGCTCATCACATTTTTTTGCCTCCTGTGTTAAAACACTTTGAGAGGCTGAGTTAGTAAATAGTGTAAAGTGTGTTCTTTTTTCACTAACAGGTGGCGTTGTTTAATTACAACTTAGGTAGAGGATGGTCTTCTTTCTCTGATTAAACTGAGCTTCTTTCAAACCCTGAAAAATGCGCAACGAATTTTCTCGAAGAATAAACATTCGGGATAATCCAGTGGAATGGGTGGGACCATAAATTTATACGGCGGTTTGTTTAGTCATACGCTTTATTAACACACACCAACCTGTGCATGAAATGTTCTAAGGAATGGAACGGATGGAAATTCGAATGACACAGAATGATGGAATTGGGCTTGATGGAGAGGAGGAAAAATCTTTTGCTTATGCCTCAGAGAAACAAAATAACCACAACCGGGACTCGCTTCTTATTGGATTACGCCTGAGTGCCCACGTGCTCCCTACCTGATAAGTATCTTAGATACACCTAATGTGCGCCGCTGCGCATGAGCCAACAAAGTATACCGACCGGTTTCTTCATCATAGCTATTTGAGAAGGATTAGGGATAGCTGGAGGTACCCTATCACATTCGGCAATAAATGATTCATTTAAATGATTGGCACGAAAGCTTTCATAATATTCCTTAGGGCTGTCTGAATATCTGTCTAACAACATCCCACCCGTTGTAGCATGGCGTCCATTGCCCACCTACAGGATCTTGAGCTCTAAGAAATTATGACGTCTTATTATATCCACTGACTTTCCTGTTAGTCCCAATGCCTTGACTTTGGTTCTGATGACGATTCACTACCCAAGTTATTGAAACAATGTGCGGTCTTGTTGATGTATATTTTAAAGGCTCATAACAGGACTTAATTGACAATGCTTTCCCTGGCACACATCCCACACATCAAGCGGCATATGAAGTCTGCAGTTTGAAGGACAGACAGACAATTCTGAGTTTCTTGAACTCTCTACCTAAACAATCATCAAAGATGTGAATAATTAACAAACCGAGCTTCTTAGCGTTTGACCTCGATCGCCCCAAATTTGTACAAAAACATGCTCTCTAAAAATGTTTTTTTTATCTAACAGGTCGGGGTTTCCCATACTGGTCTATAGCAATCCGAATTTCTAAACTCAGAAATAGTTGCTTTGATGATCTATTCGCGTCACAAAAAATCTGAACTGACGGAAAACTTACATTAGTTAACTTTGGAATTCGATTGGGGATGACACCCAAATGGCCTTCAAAAATGCCAAGAGGACTACCGACGGGAACAGTCTTCATTACATAAACCGAACTCCACACAATGGATTAAAAGCTGATCCAATACGAGCTTTCTACCCACATCTTCGTTCAATCGGGGATTTATTACATTCACTGTATTCGATGACCCATTATTTCTAAAAATATCATTTTTTGGCTCCTTGCCTGTCGTTTAAGGCAAGCCAGTTTTGTTAGTTTACGCTGCCAGGTTTTCTGGTCTCGTAAATTCCAAAAGGAAAGTCCAGATACACAGAAAACCAGAAACATTACTAAGTTCTGGAAGTAACACACTATTGATAAGGTGGCTGAAAAATCTTCGATAGCCCGCCGACTGTTTCCCCATTTAAGATAGGCTCACTCTCCGAATTTCCGTAAACCTCATGTTCCACCTGAATACAAATTGGACGAAATTCGCCGAATAATCCCTTTTACAAATGGGTTCGGTTTGATGAAATACTCGGCGATAGGCTCACGAATTTCCGTAAACCTCATGTTCCACCTGAATACAAATTGGACGAAATTCGCCGAATAATCCCTTTTACAAATGGGTTCGGTTTGATGAAATACTCGGCTGAACCCGACTGAATCTCTCGTCTATGTATCTCTCATCAGAATCAAATCCGCATGCAAATCAGGTTATCTGGTGAAAACTAGACTCCCTGACACACTCGTCGGGTAGCGAACTCACCATTCACCTACAGTTTCTAGTCCATAAGCATAATGATGATAATACAGCACTTATCCGTTGACTTAGAGATTTTCGACTAACTTACACATTCTTGTGCGTATATTTTTTGTTTTCTTAGAAATTTTGATTTTTATGCTGAACAGTCATTGAAACTACATCCTTGAAGCTGAATAATCACCAGTGTTAGAATAGTCCAGCAGTTAGAACAGTCGATGTGTTTCCATGTTCTTGATTTGTGTCCAAACAGCGCAACTTTGTTAGAATCAGTGCCTTCTATCTTCAAATGCTACGTACGAATTTGTGGTACTTAGGAACGCGACTGATCATATGTATTTTCGTGTTGCAACCAATGTTTTCGTGGCTGGTGCAAAATCGCTGAAATTTGACAATAGCAATGGTCCAAGTATGCATGAAACAACTTGGTTCCCTCCAGTTTCCAACACAGATTTTTGCAATTACGATAACGACGACATAAATGAACCGCTTTGCCTACTGTAAATTGTGGACTGCTTCGTCGAAAACTAGGATCTTTCTTGGTGCAAGCCACCTCCAGAGCGCAAAAAATTGCACTTTCAAGGCATACATTGCAGCAATCGATTAGTGTCTACGTAAAGCTTCAGAAAAAAGGCGGGGAAATTTCGGAGCTTGACTTTGGCTTTCATGACATTTTCCAGCTGCCAATAGTTCGTATTTTCTGGTACGCCATGTGTTAAGCGTCGCAATCAGAGACAAAGCTCATCAGACTGGTGAATGTTTCGGCCATTTTATACACTCAGCAGTAGTGGAACTGTACCCATGCTTGTATCAGTGTATGACAAAAAGAAACCCTCAGTAACAGATCTTTCGATAAAAGAAGGATTGAATTCATGGATGTTTTTTGGTTCTACATGACTTGCGCTGAAATTCCTATATAGGTTAGAAGACCGTTGAACTGGACAGGGAAACCTAACTAGACCCGTATGTGGCGTAAAACCCTTACTTGAAAGCACTAGTACACCACGCGATATAGCACTGCGTTCATTACATACCCCAGTGTTAATTCCCTCTCTCACTGACCACCGCTCAACTCTATCCACATTGTCTGAAGCGGTACTGTTATTCAAGCACTTCAGGGCTGACAGGTCTATCCTGTGGTCAACTGATATCTGGAGTTGTGTCTGTATATTTTCTCTGGACTACAACTGGTGCGCGAAATGTTATTTTCTAATGTTTATTCCAACTAACTTTTGTGGGCCAACACGAATGCGTTTGCTACCGGCATGTACACTCCACATTAGCCTTCTGGGCTTTAAAGATCTGTTTTCGCAACGGGATAAAGCCAGTTGTCACGTGACCACTCCTTGAGGTAGGGAACAACGACGTTATCGACT